ATGGCGCTGACGCAGCCGAGGGCGCGGCGAAGGGACCCCGAGCCGGTCACGTGATCCGCGTGGCAGTGCGTATTGGCTGAGGGGCGGTGACGTCATCAGTGACGTCATCATCATTGTATGACGACATTGAGGATAACCCCGCCCCCAGTTCAATCCCAGTTTGATCCCAGCCCGGTCACGTGATCCGCGTGGCAGCGCGTATTGGCTGAGGGGTGGTGACGTCATCAGTGACATCATCATCATAATTGTGTGACGTCATTGAGGATAACTCCGCCCCCAGTTCATTCCCAGTTCATCCCCAGTTTGATCCCAGCCCGGTCACGTGATCCGCGTGGCAGTGCGTATTGGCTGGGGGGACAGTGACGTCATCAGTGACGTCATCATCACCATCATCATCATTGTGTGACGTCATTGAGGATAACCCCGCCCCCAGTTCAATCCCAGTTTGATCCCAGCCCGGTCACGTGATCCGCGTGGCAGTGCGTATTGGCTGAGGGGCGGTGACGTCATCAGTGACGTCATTATCATTGTGTGACGTCATTGTATTGAGGATAACCCCGCCCCCAGTTCATTCCCAGTTCGTTCCCAGTTTGGTCCCAGTGTCCCCTGAGATGGTCACGTGATCCGCGTGGCAGTGCGTATTGGCTGGGGGGCGGTGACGTCATCAATCATCATTGTATGACGTCATTGAGGATAACCCCGCCCCCAGTTCAATCCCAGTTTGATCCCAGCCCGGTCACGTGATCCGCGTGGCAGTGCGTATTGGCTGGGGGGCGGTGACATCATCACTGACGTCATTATCAGGGTGTGATGTCATTCAGGATAACCCCGCCCCCAGTTCATTCCCAGTTTGATCCCAGCCTGGTCACGTGATCCGCGTGGCAGTGCGTATTGGCTGAGGGGCGGTGATGTCATCAGTGACATCATCATCATCATTGTGTGACGTCATTGAGGATAACCCCGCCCCCAGTTCATTCCCAGTTTGATCCCAGTTTGATCCCAGCCCGGTCACGTGATCCGCGTGGCAGTGCGTATTGGCTGAGGGGCGCTGACGTCATCAGTGACATCATCGTCATTGTATGACATCATTGAGAATAACCCCGCCCCCAGTTCATTCCCAGTTCATTCCCAGTTTGGTCCCAGTTCAATCCCAGTTTGATCCCAGCCTGGTCACATGATCCGCATGGCAGTGCGTATTGGCTGAGGGGCGGTGACGTCATCAGTGACGTCATCATCATCATCATCATCATCATTGTATGACGTCATTGAGGATAACCCCACCCCCAGTTCATTCCCAGTTCAATCCCAGTTTGATCCCACCCCGGTCACGTGATGCGCGTGGCAGTGCGTATTGGCTGGGGGTGATGACATCATCAGTGACGTCATCATCATCATCATCATCATTGTATGATGTCATTGTATTGAGGATAACCCCGCCCCCAGTTCATTCCCAGTTCATTCCCAGTTTGATCCCAGTTCGATCCCAGGGTGGTTTATGGGCTGTGGGCGTGGCTTTTCCCAGAAGTAGGCGTGGTTTAGAGGCTGTGGGTGTGGCTTAGATGCTATGGGCGTGGTTTGGGGACTATGGGCGTGGTTTAGGGCTGTGGGCGTGGTTTAGGGGGCTATGGGTGTGGTTTAAGAGCTATGGGCATGGATTTCCTGAAAGTGGGCGTGGTTTAGAGCTATGGGCGTGGCTTAAAGGGGCTCTGGGAGTGGTTTAAGGAGTGTAGGCGTGTCTTATAGACTATGGGCGTGGCTTTTCCTGGAGGTGGGTGTGGCTTAGGGGCTATAGGCGTGGTTTAATAGCTACGGGCGTGGTTTTACCCGGAAGTGGGTGTGGTTTAAGCCTGTAGGCGTGGCTTAAATGGGCTCAGTGGCGTGTTTAGGGGTTATATGTGCGATTTAGGGGCTGTGGGCGTGGTTTATGGGCTATGGGCGTGGTTTTACCCGGAAGTAGGCGTGGTTTAGGC